GAAGAAGAAGAAGAAGAAGAAGAAGAAGAAGAAGAAGAAGAAGAAGAAGAAGAAGAAGAAGAAGAAGCTATTATATGCAGAGAAAGTATAACTGACCAAAATTAGCTAGTCAACACAGTACAAGTCAAATCTTTCAGTTACACGGAAAATCTGTAGACATCTGCCTGAACACAGAAATTGCACGCTGCTTCAGGACTGGAATACCACAATGTCATGTTCCATTACCGAAAAGGGGGACCCTAGAAAACTGAAAGTGGCAAAGAACTGTGTTCACTGATTTTGCTTCGTCCCTGACTTTTTGGGGTTACCCATTAGGCACTGATGAAGGACCTACCTACCACCTATGCCCAACCCCACAAAGCAGGCTCGCTAAGCTGAAGCTCTGGGTCTAAGCTCTTTTCTATGGTTGTTTTGGAAATCAAGACATTCTGAGAATCAGGCCGGCAAACGATGACCCACAGCCAGGCTGTCGAGGCAGATAGGTACAACAATGCTAGTCCCCTGCACCTCTATTTCTTCATTTTTTTAAGCATTTGTTCTTCAAATATTCCCCATTTATGTTTTTGCTTGTTTCTTTTACATGATCTTAAGTAGCTCAGGCTTGTCTCAAACTCACAGACAAGAATGACTGGAGTTCATGGTTCCTCTGCCTCCACCCCCAAGATAACAGGTGTGTAACACCACACCTGGCAAATCTGTGCCTTTAACCCCCAGTAGAATCTTGCTCTGAGAAAATGAGCTCCATAAAGTCCCACAGCTGGGCAGCTACTGAGTGAGGAATCTGGGGCTAAAAATCCCACATTTCCAGGGGCACAAACTGATTTATTTTGTCTCTGATATATTTTGTCTCTGCATTCCTCCTCTGTTCTCTCCTCTAAACGAGAACATTTTAATCAAATACTCCATGTCCTCCTCTTACCTCAGAGGGCCTCACCTGGGTGTGGTGCTGAGGTGCTCTGGAAGGAGGCCGGGGGTGTAGGGGTGGCATAGCTGTAGGAGGGGGCCACTGGAAGAGGGGTGTCAGTTGGACTGTGCTCAGTGCTTTTTACATGCTGAGTATTGGACGCAGGACTGGCATGCTCTGATGATTCAGGATGGATGGACACATTCTTTGGCCAGTCAGGAGTATGTGTAGTGTGGCCAGCAGTGAAAGGCCTGGGAACTGTCACCGCTTTGCGATCCTAAAGAAATAAGAAAGATTAACTGTGGCAAGCAAAAGTGACAGACTCATAGGGCTAGGCTCATTAAATGATGTCAAAGACAGTGAAGAAATTAATCTTACCACCCAAATTCAAATAGTGCTACAATTGGCGATGCAGACTTGTGGGCAGACACAGGCTGACTGCCAGGTGTATGCCAGTCCTGGGTTTGGTCCTCAGAACCACAAATGAAAGACAAAAACTAACAGAATCTTCTGTTTTTTTTTTTTTCCATACAAAAGTTTCTTCAGCTGTGCATGGTGACTCTCAACATCTAATTCACTCAGGAAGGTGAAGCAAAAGTTTGCCCAGAATTTAAGGCTAGTTTGGGCTACAGAGTTAGAACCTGTCTCAAAATACTAAATAAATAAAAATAAATAAACTTTCTTTAAAACAAAATAATCAGAAGCCGGGTGTGGTAGTGCATGCTTGTAATCCCAGCACTCTGGGAGGCAGAGGAGGTGGATCTCTGTGAGTTTGAGGCCAGCCTGGTCTATAAAGTGAGTCCAGGACAACCAGGGCTACACAGAGAAACCCTATTTAGAAAAAAACAAAACAAAAACAAATAAACAAAATCATCATCATCATGAGATGAAGATACAGCTAAGCAGTTAAGAGCACTAGCTGCTCTCCCAGAGGACCTGGGTTCAATGGTTCAATTCCTAGCACCCACATGGAATCATATCTCAGGGGATCTAACAACCCTCTTCTGGCCTTTGTGGGGATCAGTCACACACACAGTATATAGATATACATGCAGGCAAAACACCCATACACATGAAAAAATTTTAAATTAAAAAATTACCAAATATTACGCTCAACTAGCAGAGGAAAGCAAACTAAAAACATAATAAGCCCAAATGGTAAATATTCCTATCCAAGTCTTGGCGAATCAAAGAAATAAGTGAGAGCCTATCACCCTTTCTCCTTTCCAGGCTTTTGGGCAAGAAGAGTCCTAAGCTGAGTTTTAGAAAGCAAACAGCTGTTTACTACACAAAGGCTAAGGGCAGAGAATGAGCATAGGCACAGACATGAAATTAGCACAGTGCAGTTGGGAACTAAATGCTATAAGCACAGTGAGAGGCAGGAAACAGGGAAGGTGAGCTGGAAGACAGGGAAGGGACAGACAGAAGGCACTACTGGCCACTTTAAGGAGCTGCAGTGGTGAGCAATTAAAGAATCATATGCAGAGAATGACACAATCATGTCTACAGATGACATTACACTGCAGGGGTTTGAAGAAGTAGAGGGACAACAAAAACAACACCACATTCAGCCAAATGAGGAATGGAGAGTAGCTCAGCCAGAATGGTGGTAAGGATTATTACAAATCAACTTACCAGAAACATAATCCACATAACATAAACTCACACATCAGAAGAACATGGGCAATTTATCAGTGGATAAGGAAAAGGAAATGTTATCCCCTCCTCCAGCAAACATTACTTGCCCACAGTTCCTGAAGGGCGGGACATGAGGCCTCATGAGCCCCTCCTCCATACATGATAGAATGGTGACAGGGTGACCTTCTGCAGGCCTTGGGAACCACCACTGCAGAGGGTTCATGAGAGCAACTGTCACACTATGTCCAGGAGACTTTTTCACAGCATTCTGCCAACCTCTGGTTCTTACCTTCTTTCTGCCCTCTTCTGAGACGTTTCCTAACCCTTGAAGGTGGTGATACAAATGGCCTTTTGAGAGCTGTTGCTCTTTTCTTTGCTAGAGGGGAATCTGGATTTCTCTCTAACTTCAGTCACAGACTCTGTTCTCTGACATCTCAAACCCTAAGTCTCCAGACACTGACCAGCTGCTTCCCCAAGGTTAGAATATGTACTTGGTGTAAAAGGCAATAGACCTGAAGCTCAACCTGGCACACACTGTCTTCACAGATGGACCTCTGTCTTCCTCATTGCTGTGTTTTTCCTCACCAGGCCTCCTGCAGTCTTCCCACATGGGTGCAGTACAGAGGTTTAGTCAGGAATTGATTGTAGCTTACAGTCAGGTTATGGGGCTCACTTTCTTTGTGGTTTGTTGTTTTGAGTTTTGTTGTTGTTTCTTAAAAGAGTCTCCTGCTAAATGTGCAAAAAGTTTTATTGTGCATCCTGGTCCTGACCACGAGACAGTCAGACTCCCCCTTTCCCCCAACTCTCCTCTAGTAGGGAGCCTATTTTATGCCCTCAGGCAACATTTTTAAAGTGCAAATGAACATTTTATCACCTCTGGTCTCCATCTTACAAAGTTAAACCTTCCTCTAGCTTCTATATTCTTCTGAATTCTTTCCAATTCCTTTATGCTCTTTTTCTTTAAAAATTTTTCTTTATCATTATTATCTGTGAAGGTTCAGGAGACCACTTCACTCTGCCATCATCACTGGAATTCCTCCTGTGGGATGGATTTCAAAATATTAAAGATCTAATATATGGAAAGCCAAAATAGATCTGGGATTTGGGGAAAATGAGTCTGAGGTAACAGCAGTGTTTGAAGCCTGAGTGAAAGCTGATTGTACACTAATGTCAAAAACTAAGATGAATACAGGGAAATAATGGGCAAGTTATATTACAGACATCGAATCTACAACACCTCTGGGAAATGGCAATAAAGACTCAGATTTGGATTCAAGTTCCCAGATAGTAGCTGAGGCCACAGAAAAAGGAAAACTACAATAAAAGAACATATGAAGCCAGGCATGGTGGCATACACCTTTAGTCCCAGCACTCTTGGAGGCAGAGGCAGGGGGATCTTTGTGAGTTCAAAGCCTGCCAGTTCTACAAAATGAATCTAGGACAGCCAAGGCTACACAGAGAAAACTAAAAATAAATAAGTGAATAGATAGATAAATGAAAGACATATGAGCAAAGGAAATAAAATTCAAAACAGAATTTGGGAATGCCAATGCATGAAATGACTCCAATACAAAGATGCCATTGTCAGTTTTGTTTTTCTATGTAGACCTGGCTATACTGGAACTTACTTTGTAGACCATGCTGGCCTCAAACTCACAAAGATCCACCTGTTTCTGACTCCCAAATGCTGGAATTAAATGCATGTGCCACCATGTCACCAGGTCAAATTATCAAAATTGTTTAAAAAGCATGAGAAAAGCCAGATTTGGTGGTACATACCTATAATCCCAGATTTGGGAGATAGAGGCAGGAGACTCATGACTCCGACAGCAGCCCAAACTACAGAAGACCCTATGTCAATACACATGCACACACACAGTGGACTTCTGCTTCTAGTCAAGCTAGAATAAATGATAAGTGAGAGACCAAAAGATTAAAAATCAGCAGCTATTATTACTAAAGTTTAAGGCCTGAACTAAGGCTAGCTGGGTGGAGAAGTCCAGTAATGCCCTGAGGGGAAGAACCCGCCTTACTGCATTCTTTCCCCACTCACTAGAGATACAGTTGCTAGGAAACTGGCCCATCCCCCTAGGGAGGCAGAGGCAGGCATCTCCATGATTTCGAAGCCACCCTGGTCTACTTAGGAGTTCCAGGACAGCCAGAGCTACAAAATGAGACCCTGTCTCAAAAAACCAAAAACAACACAACAGATGATCAAATTGGTGAGTGGCACCAAGTCACCAGCAACCTCCTACGTAAACTTGTAATAGCAAGTGCCTCACTTATAGCCAGACATGGAGATATAAGAGGTAAGTCCTGGCACAGGTAAAAGTCTCAGTTTCAATTTAAACTGATTCTGGGCAGAGAAGAGTAAAATGATAGTTTTGCAAGCCTGATGATCTGAGTTCGGATCCCAGAACCAGCTCCATGAGGTTATCCTCTGACTAACACAGACACTGGTATATGCATGCCCCCTACTTCACATCACACACACATGCACACATATATGCACACCACACCACATACACATTAATAATAATTTTCAAAAATTAATTAAAAATTAAAAAAAAAAAACTGATCCAGGCTGGTGTTATATTTCAGTGGTAGAGACCTAATCCAGCATATGTGAGGCCCTGGATTCCTACCCTAGCACCGGGCCTGTCAACCAACCACAGACCAACTTCTGAACCTATGATCTATAAGAAACCTTTATTATTCATAATTTGATTAGCTCAAGCATTCAGTGATATGGTGATAGCAGACAGTCCCTGGCTGTGCCTAATTTATGTATTAAGCTCCATAGTAAGTATGTTCATATAGAAAGATAATATAGTTTATACAGGGTTTGGTATTTCTGACAGACAAGAAGGAAGCTACTACTGTATTCAGTGAGTATACAGAAGGCAAGCTTCTGGAAATGACTACTTCAATGTCTAAGATGAAAAATGCACTGTGGTGATTTTTCTTTGTATAGTTTTGTTTGTTTGTTTTTGTTTTATGAGATAAAGTCTCTTATAGCCCAGGCTGGCCCTGAATTCATGAAGTAGTGAAGGAAAACCTTAAACTCTTTATCCTCTTGTCTCCACTTCCTAAGTGCTGAAATTATGTGTCTGTGCATTATGCCTGCCTTTTCACTGTGGTGAGTTAATGGCAGGTTTGGAAAATGTAGAAAAATTTTGAAGAATTTTATATAGAAAGTATTCAACTAAAACAAAAGAAGAAAAAAATAGACTAGAAAGAAATGAACAAAGCATTAGTAAACTGAAACAAACCCAAGTTGTTGCTCAAGTTTGTAAACAGAATTATCAAAGGGAAGGGCAAGACAGGAAAGGAGGGCAACACACATCTCAAGAAACATGGTCAACTATTTTCCAATCTAAAAAGCAGCAAGCCCACATCTAGCATAGAGTGCAACAAGCCCCAAGCATAAAATTACTCCAGAATAGCTACTGAAATGCTTACAATGGTGCCAAAGAGAATTTCATCTAAGCACCCACAGAAATAAGACAAGCATATATACTCAGGAATACTTAAGATTCTAGAAACATGAAAACTAAGATATTACTACACTTAAGAGGGCACCCTGTCCTTGCAGAGGAGTGGCATTCAATTCCCAGCACACATGTCAGGGAGCTCACA